ATATATATATACAGAATTGGGTAGTAACTGATTACATTTAATCTGGATTACATAATCAGATTCCAAAAATTAAGTACTTGTAATTAGATTAAATTACATTTTAAAATACTTGTAATCAGAATACAGTAAATTTTTTATTGATTACATGATTCCATTCTTTATAATTACAATTCTTCATAATTTATTGATTCTCCCTATGCCTCTTTATATATCCTCAAATTAGGCATGACTTTTCTTGCATGCTAAAACAGCATAACTTATTTATATGTTGGCTAAATTATTTCTGTTTGTTATCTATTTATGCTGTCTTTGCATGCAATAGAAAATGTTGGCAAGTATACAGTATGCAAATACGTAAATGTGCAAATAAAATTACAATATCAAATACTACTGCTAATGATAATATATACATACATACACACTCTAAAAAACTCTATAAAAATGCAGCCTAATATGTTAATGTGAAGGAATTTTGTGTATTTTTTTTACAGGTGTTCTACCCATATTTTCAGACTCATTGCGTTGTGTGGTGTTTTAGGGTTGAAGGAAATGTCTGTAAATTTAACAGAAAATGTACTTGTAATTTTCTGCTCTAGTTTTCTATGTATTTTTTTTCTTACAGTGCATGCATTTTGGGTAAAGCTGATTTGAAGCAATATGCATTGTGTAAAGCGCCATGCAGATAAATTCAATTACAAATGTGTATATATATATATATATATATATATGGTTTTTTTTTTTTTTTTTTTTTTTATATCAGGGCTTGGTCTTTGCTCTAATATGCATTTTCAGCTGTTAGACCTTTTGTTAAGATGTGTGTGCCTTTCCAAATCTCAAAAAAACAAAAAAAGTAACATGGAAAATTTACACAAGCAAGAATGTCTGTGTTTATAAATAATTAGTGTACCAATTACAAATGTGTATATATATATATATATATATATATATATATACACAATAAAATGTAGTACACTAATTATTTATAAACACAGACATTCTTGCTTGTGTAAATTTTCCATGTTACTTTTTTTGTTTTTTTGTTTTATATCAACACATTTGTTTCCATTCTTTGAAGTTTGACATACTTTCAGATCAACTTTTTCACGTGGTGAGAGAAAATTCAAGATAGACCTGGTGAATCCGTGGGAGAATTCAACCCCAAGAGTTGCCTCTCCCTCGTTCTATAACTCTCTGAGCATGTCTCTTTCTCTCTAACTTTTTCCAAAGTACGTCAGTCAGACCGCACATCAACAGTTTCTCTACATGCATCTTCAGAAGTCATGTGATGTTGAGAAGCAGAGAAGAAGAGGAACTACCTACAGCGAGCAACTCCTCCTGACCACACTGCAACCCACGCAACCACCCACAACACTATATAATCAAGAACAAAGACCAGAGACGGCAAACATGAACTGAGAGACGGGATTAAACGCACAAGGGTTTTTAGGGGAAAACTAGAAGATAAAAGAAAAAGAAACATCTGCTTGGAAGAGCTAAAAATGAATAAGAAACCGTTTCTGGTGATTCTGGGGTTAGCACTGGTTTTTGAAGGTGAGCATGTCATTTTAGAGTACAGTGAATGAGTAAAATATTGATTTATCTCTCTCACCTAGTTTTAAATTCTTTGTGTAGATTTAAATGTGCCATCTTTCTGTGTTCTGCAGGTGCTCAGTGTCAGGAACATGAAGTTTTTGTAGCTCATGGTTCTGTAGCAGTGCTGCCATGTATAGATGAGACTTCTGCGCTCTCACATCCTACTGCAGTCTACTGGAGCAGGATAGCTGGAAAGTAAGAACATTTCATCCATCCATCCATCCATAAACACAACTATCCAAAACCTGACAATCAGCATTTTAATATCTCGCTCTCTTTCTCAATTTCCTAGTGTCCTGAAGACAGTTTGGCGGCGAGAGAAGAGCGGGTTAGAGTTTCGTCCGGTCAGAGACCCACCACGTGCTAACTGTCCCGTCCCGAATTTCGGAAAGGCTGATTACAGCCTTCACATCGCTGAAGCGACAATCGAAGATGGAGGAAAGTACGTCTGTGAAGTTGAGGGAAAGATTCGGATGGCGAAGGTCATCAATCTCAGAGTTGTAAGAGGTAATAACCAAGAATAGTCACTTATTCTTTGTTAAGTCATCTGGAAGCCTTATCGGTAATATTTTCTCTTTCTCCGCAGCATCATTTTCTCCTGCCGTAGTGGTTGAGGGCTTAATAACGGAGGCTACGTGCCATGTCAGTCCTGGGACACAGTCTGTACAAATGAACTGGAAACGAAATGGCAAATTAACAAGGACAACCAGCCTCTCCAACGTGTCTGAAAAAGATGGAGGAGACTGGACCTGTCAGGTTGCATACAATGGTGGAGTGGTAGAGGCAACCACATCCCTACAGGTCAAAGGTGAGCGTCCGTTTAAAAAAAAAAACCTGCTTTTTCTTTCAAATAATGTCTGCAAGAGTTGCTCATCCACCGTTACCCGTTGGCTTTCCAGGAATCGTCACTCCTCAGGATAACTCTTCAGTGGTGTACACTGCTGTCGGTTCCTCCGTCTCCTTGCCCTGCATCTTTACTGATGGTTTAATCCCATACACTGTGATGTGGAACAGAACCTCCACAACATCACACTCTCCTCTTCCTCTCGCTGCATCTTTCCACGAGTCTGCTGGGCCCTCAGCATCAGCTACTATACAGAGAGTGGAGGATGGAGATGAAGGGATGTATACATGCTCAGGAATGATGAAGGGATTGAATGGAGAGAGTAATAAAGTACAAAGAAGGATGGAGCTAGTTGTAGCTCGAGGTGAGAAGAATAATATATCACTAGAACACGCAGAATACTGGGTGAAGTGGCTACATAAAATGATATATAGTTTTAATATAATAATAATATATGTATACAATTGTAAATACAATTGTAATAATAACTTTATTAACTTTATATAACCTAATAACTTCTGGTTTGTGGTATTCTGAATTTGCTGAATGCTGAAGTTCTCTCTGAATTCTGTTTAGTTTTGAGATCCTCATCATCCGGTGGTGACGGACCCGTGACCCTAACCTGCCATCTCAGCAACTCCAGCCAGATCACTTCCTATGAGTGGCTCCGTGTTTACGGCCCAAACGACACTCAAACGGTGACCTCTGTTCAAAGGACAAAGAGCTTCAGGATTCAAGAAGTGAATGAGAAAGATGCTGGTGAATGGGTTTGCCGCTACTATGGGAAGCATGGAGTTCTGGGGAACGCGACTTATGAACTTCATGTGATGGGTAGGTAGAGCAGTTATATTACAGTAAATGATCTTTGCATAAGCATTTGCATACCAATTAATAAAAGTAGCATGCTGTGAAGTCATTACAAAAATACATAAATTAGTCTAATTTTAATTAGGAGCAGATTTAGAAGCAGTACCTTTTGATTGATTCTCTGTTTTGTTCATTTTTTCCAGGTGCTGTAAAGAGCGAAAATTCAAGTTCTGGCAACAAAACCGCTATGGTGATGGGATTAGGGTTTTTCTTCTTGGCGATATTCGTGGTTTTGTTCCAGATGTACAGAAACTATCGGCGGGTATGTTTCAGTCTCCTCAAGTCTTGATTTAATAATGCATTGCTTCATGCTTACTTGATACTGATATTTCAATGCTGCAGAAGACAGCTCTCTAAAATAGATTTAGTGTGGGTTATTTGCATCTCGTCTCTCATATTCATCTAATTTATTACTCCTTACAGAAGAAGATGATCCTTCTTTACCCTGCGATGGAAACCATCGTCCATCAGGCCGCCACTGAACGAGAGCAGAGAGAGAGGAGCAGGCCAAAAATGGCTGAAGCTTGTGTCGGAGATCCCAAACCAGTGTGTGTGTAAACGTGTGTGTGTGTGTGTGTGCCTATGTGGATGTGTGTGTGAGTGTGTTTTAAATGCAGACAATTGTAGCAGTCCATTTAAACTGTAAATATATCACTGAAATATAAATGTATACATTTTGTAAAAACTAATTTTGGTGCAATTATGTTTTCAAATATGAATTTAAAATCTATGTAAATAAAGCAATAAAGGGAAAACATACTTCATTTCTCATGTTTTAATTTATTTTTGTTTCTTTTGCACAGTAAATACATTATAAACAGGTTCTTAATATCGCTATACAGAGAAAACATTCTGTACACAGATAAATGTAAGTAAATATAATAATAACAATAGACACAATATTAATCGATCTGTCATAAAAAACATGTACAGGCTGTATGTATCACTCAGATATATTTGACTATAATAGTCATGCTACATAATCATTAAACAACACAAAATAACTTTATATATTACATTTCTCCAAACACTTTTTACACATTTAATAGACTACACCTCACTACATTCTGTTTCATCTGGCCTCTCTGATGGTTTCGTCTTGGACCTCCTGGGCTCATTTGTGGTCAGCTTCTTGTCAAACCAGTCTTCATCTTCAAAGTCCTCAAAGTCAAACACCTCCTCATCATCAAAACACCAGCCTGGCCAGTCCACGCTGATGCCCTCTAGGACATTATTGCTTCAAGGGAGAGAACAGTGGTTTATAGGGAAATGTCTTCAAAAAAGTAAAGGTTAATGTCCTTTCTTCTCTACACTGTAGAAAATGATTTTTCAAATTTGTAAATAAAACAAAACAATCTTTACAAGAAAATCCTATTCTAGTCTTTTTCCTTAAAAATTTAATGTTCAGTTCTGTGTTACTTGGTGTTTCTTTGTAATTATTTGTGAGTGAAAATTGTTTCAAAGAAATCTGACACTTTTTTTTCACTGCAGTAAAATGTCATTTTTAGCAAAAAAGGGGTGATAATAAAATAATGAATACATTTGATTATTATTAACTAAAATTTTATATATATATATATATATATATAGTAAAAATGCAGTTTTCTATCTTTAAAGACCTTTTATATATATATAAAAAAACATTTTTAGATTTGTAAGTAGTGATTATGAAGTAGTGTTCAAATTTAGAAATGTCAAGATTATTTTTTTTTTTACCACAGACCACCTTTAAAGACCCTCAGGGGTTCACAGACCCCTAATTGAAAACATGAATATAAAAGCTCAAGCTGCATTCAAATAATATGAAATGCCATGCAAATTTAATTCATGTGTTTCTAATATGTACATTAACTCATCAGTACTGAGCATTACATAGCTTTTGATGAGTTATTAAAGGGGTCATATAATGCGATTTCAAGTTTTCCTTTCTCTCTGGAGTGTTACAAGCTCTTGGTGCATAAAGAAGATCTGTAAAGTTGCAAAGACTAAAGTCTCAAATTCAAAGAGGTATTCTTTATAAAAGTTAAGAGTCAACCACGCCTACCTAAAACGGCTTGTTCTAACACGCCCCCACATATCTACATCACGATGCACAACCAACCGAGAGAACCGCAGCCTTATGAGGATTGTCAAGCAAAATCGATTCCTAGAGCATTTTGTCACATTTAACATTTCTGTCACATACTTGAGGTATTCGGCCGATCATAACGCACTGGATAGTTGGCCAATCAGAGCACACCTCGCTTTTTCAGACCGATGAGCTTTGTAAAAATCGACGCGTTTCAGAAAGGCGGGGCATAGAGGAGAAACAATAATGTACAGTATGTGGAAAATAATGTTTTTTTTTAACCTTAAACCGCATAAACATTTCATTACACCAAATACACAAAATAATGTTCTTTTTAGCAACATCATATGACCCTGTGTTCTAAGTGCAATATCATTGCATGCAATTATTTTTCAGAGGAAAGCCTGACTCCTAATGGTCCTAATGAAGAACTAACTTGTCTATAATCCAAAAGAAGTAACAAGTGCTAATATATCATTTTAGGACAATGATGTTGTCAAATTTGAGTACAATTTCCATTTCCAATTATTGAATGTAATAATTTAGAAAGAATTTTATGTAACAGTACACAGATGAATTGTGCGTGTGGGCAGAGAGAAGAAATAACGCACATGAAACTGTCAAGTTCCGCAACACAGTAAGTACGCTCTACAGTCATATCTCACAAATGGAACAAATATACTTAAAATGAAAATGATTGATTTTCCACTGGACAGTTAAGGTTATTTTTGGGGTTAATTTAAAAGGAAAGAATATTTATATCTTAAACAAAAAAAATTACACACACACAAATACACATTCAAAGTTGAGTTTTAAACTCGACAGATGCAGTAGGATTTATAGGGGTCATATCACATATTTATGCACCCTTTTTTGCTGCTATGCTTCCTTTCTATGTAAATTATAAATGATATTGTATATTATACAAAGTTAAATTTCAAACATTCTATTATAATCAACAAATTAATTTAATTAAATATATATAATCTTACTTTTACCTTAGTGGGCCATGTATCTGAAAATAAACTGAAAATCCCGGCATCATGACCTATCATCCCTCACTTATTAACACATATTAACACAAAATTACTGACTATTAAAATGCAAAAGCTATATCTATGCTAAAAAACAAGGTGATCACTGTTAGTCCAGTTAAAACAACAACAACATCATACAATATGTTAGGTTGGGATTTAAATAGATTTTTTTGCATTTTTAGAATAAGTAGCCAGAACAGAATCCGGTTCCCCAAAAATGGTTGCATGACGCCATCTGATGTTTTTAAAGTACAACAAACTCTTTCATCTCAGAAGATCACGAAAAAAATGTGATTCTTCATGATACAACCCTGTTAAGAACTGTTTTCAGATTGTGCTTTCACATTTAGCAGTGACTCAATGAGAAGAGGAGACAACCTGTAGACTCACCTCTCTTTCATCTCATCCTCACTTCCATCCACGTTCCCCTCTATCCATCCATGAGTAGATATCATACCGGCTACTGCCGATTCCTCTCTTTCTGCCTCTCTCTCTCCTTCACTGACCGACGGTGATGGACAGGCAGAAACAGTAGGAGAATTTTGTAGAGATAAAGTTTTTTTCTTTCCCTCTCTTTTTCCCAGTCCACGTCCTCTTTCCCGTTCCTTTGCCCTCTGCAGCAGGCCCTGGAGTGGAGAAGGGTGAAGCTGGGGGCCCAGGCCTGGTGGGGGCGAGGGGCTGCGTCTGTGAGAATGTGGAAGGGAACTCTGAGAGGAGCTGATCTCCGGGATGGAGGCGCTCCTCTGTGTCTTCAGTTTGATTGGTTTCATTTGAACGTTCCCATCACGCGTCTGCTCGGGTTCAGAGTGCGTCTGAGGGTCTGGTGACAATCTTTTTTCAGGAACATTCCATAACGTTCCATGGTTGTTTTTTAGAGATCCCAGCTTTAGCACTCGGTGGGAATCCTGGGGTTTAATGCAAGGGTTGGATCCTCTTCTCTGGTTTCCACTGGAGTTTGCATTGAGAGTAAGTTCCAATCCGTTCACATCTGTGCTGGAAATATCTGAGGGAACAGATGGTTGCAAATTATTCGTACGTCTCCTCCGAAGGCGAGGAGACTTCAGTTTCCTGGAGAACCTCCCTGATTCTGTGAGGAGCCCATGGTCATCTCCTGACTGACTGTACAAATAGTTTCTCCTGATTTCTTCAGAGTCATCATCTGGATCCTGATGCATTGGTTCCCCTGTTTCTGCAGTTGCCCCATATGATGATGCACTTATTAGAGACTTGTTTGATGCAGAAGTGCTTGGCAGGGATTGAATAGAAGTGCTATTTTTCTCCACATCTCCACCAGGCATCAACAAGTATGATCCATTCGACTGGCTTCTCACAGGTAAGTCCTGTTGTGTAACGTCAGTAGAATTTACAGATGACCGTCGTCCACGTTTCCATGTAACTCGCCTTTCTGATATTTTTTTAGATGGGGCCTCTTCCTCTTCCAACTGCTTTCTTCCTTCTTCAGTTTTTAATCCAGCTGAATTAGTCTTTGCCGCATGAGCTGATTGGCTCTGATCATTCGATTGACCAATCAGTGGAGAGTTGCTATCCTCTGGCAGCTGCTGAACTTTACTTTGTTCTTCTTCCATCAACATTTCTGTCTCAGACTTGCGCCTATGGAAAGGATATAGCCTCATCAACTCAGCTGGGTCAAAATCACTATCAGATCTATCAGAAACTGATTGGCCATCAGGATCCTCTATGACTTTGTCAGACATTTTGTCCTGAATGGGAGGTCTCTCTGAACCACCAAACTCTGTCGTACTTGTTGTCTTCAGTGTTTTGTTGGTCTCATTTTCCCTCAAGGTCTCTAAGGCCGCCTGTGATCATCAACAAGAACCAGTTTATAGTTACAAACTATTCAACTATATTTGACGTTCTGATACAGTATTCTGCTCCACTGCACATAAAGTCTATTATGGTATATAAAAGTCACTTTCAATGATACAATGACACACTCCAATTACTTTTTAGTTAAGCATTAAATGCACAAATCTCATGTTTTTCTCCTCAGAAATTATTAACTAATTTTAATTACCAGAAACATAAATAAAATGTCAATACAGTGTAATATAGGCATTACCTGCTTGCCACATTGTACATGCACCTATATTACTGCATGATTTCCCCCAAGTACATTAGTTCATTTTTAAAGCATGTAGTGAAGAAAAGTAAATATTATCATTCAATATTCTCAAATTCGACAAATTGTAATATTGACTGCATTTGTGAGGCACAATCTTATAGGTCCCTACTGAGTGGCAGCTTAATCGTAGGAAAAATCTGCAACCCTGTTACTTTCTACTCTGTTACTTAATAAGAATAAACTATCAATAAATAGTTTTCTTTAGTTTATTAAAAAGAAGTTTAATAACAACTATAAATCAATATATTGTAAGGCTAACTAGCCTAACTGAGTGACAGTGTAATTTAGGCTAAATTCACAACCCTGTTACGTTCAACCCTGTTACCTATTCTGGTGTAGTTTATTGTTGTTGTTGTTATTACTTCATATACTTTGCCTATTTAATTTAGATTTTAATTCAATAATTATTAATAGAATTTCTAGGACTTGTGGCAACAGGGTTGAAAAAATATATAGCAAAACCTCATTTGAAATATTTAAAAATATTTTTCTTTAGTTTATTAAATAGAAGTTTAACAACAACTATAAATCAATATATTGTAAGTCTAACTAGCCTAATTGAGTGACAGTGTAATTTAGACTAAATTCACAACCCTGTTACGTTCAACCCTGTTACCTATTCTGGTGTAGTTTATTGTTGTTGTTGTTGTTGTTATTACTTCATATACTTTGTCTATTTAATTTAGATTTTAATTCAATAATTATTAATATAATTTCTAGGACCTGTGGCAACAGGGTTGAAAAAAAAATATAGCAAAACCTCATTTGAAATATTTTAAAATATTTTTCTTTAGTTTATTAAATAGAAGTTTAACAACAACTATAAATCAATATATTGTAAGTCTAACTAGCCTTTATTGTGTGACAGTGTAATTTAGGCTACATTTATATCCATGTTACTTTCAACCCTGTTACCCATTCTGGTATAGTTTATTATTATTATTATTATTACTTCATATATTTTGTCTATTTAATTTAGATTTTAATTCAATGATTATTAATATAATTTCTAGGATCTGTGGCAACAGGGTTGAAAAAAATGCAAAACCTCATTTAAAATAAATGGAGAATAAAACTCACCTAAATAAATAAATTGTTTATAAATTAGTCTGAGCAGCTCCTAAGATCAACAGTCAACATTTTCCTAGTCATAAAAAATGACTTTATGTTTTAAGCTTTTCAAACCCTATTTTGTACCATATTCGTGGAAAGTGGCAAAAGTAGAAGGTACAAAGAATTCATTTTGGGGAAAAAAACTAATTAGATTTTTTCAGGGTTGGGCTTGTATATCCTGTCGCACTGGTGTCGAGTGTGTTTGCTGCAAGAGGAATGCAAGTACCTGAGTCTCACGCAGAGCAGACACCCATGACGCGCAGCTGTCTGGACTGGGTGTGGACAGGAAGTTCACACTGACAGCACAACCTAGATCACCAACCTCCACCAGCACAAACGAATCTACCAGACAGAGCAAAGAGGGGAGAAATAGACATAGTGTAAGAATTAATCTAGCTTCATATAATAAATATTTATAGGGAAAAAGTTTCTGTTCTAAGTCTCTTGAGGTAATAATGTGCACCAGACTTCAAATTCCGTGTTCAGGTAATGTGCATGTTTGAATTCACAATTACATAATCATAATGAATCATATGTGACAATGTACCAGGACTCGCATGAGCAGGTATTTGACACACCTTAGGTGGAGCCATTCTCAAAAAGCCAATCAGAAACCAGCTTATCAAGTAATATGCCATGCTGTGCCCTGATATGCTAAGAATAGTATGCTATATTACATAAAGCTATTTGAAAGCCTTTTCCATGTGGAAAATCAATGTGCATTTTGAAACTGACTGGTTGTAAGTAATGCATTCTGTGTCTTCATGCTTTTGCTGCAGTATATTACACGTTTAGATTGTAGTTCTGTCTTATGCCATGGTTTCTTGTGTCTTCATGATTATCACTTTATTAAAAACACTGCAATTGAATCCTACCCTTGCTCCCTGAGACTCCCTTTGTTACATTACAGTATATAGAAACTAAAACAAACTGATTTACACATTTCTACATGCATATAAGGCTCATTGACCATTTAAAAAAAAATTGTATTAGCACAAGAATTTGAGTGAAAAGTTGGATTAAAATATTACAATTAATTCAATACTTTCTTATTATTAGGTTAATAGTGACAGCAGCACTCAAGCTGCATAAAGTTGAGGTAAAACCAGCATAATTTAACACCGTCCAGACATCTTTTTCTTCAATGAAAAGAAAAACATGACCTTTAGTAGGAGTTTGAATGATCAATGTCACAGATTTGCTTATTTGTTTAGTGACCTAAAAAGTGGGAAACTCCTAAATATTTAGTTTTTAAAATTATTGATAATCCTAAAACTTGTTTATGGTAAACTATATGCTTATGGTTGAAATTAAATTTAAAATCCTAGATTTTCAGTTCTCAGATTTTGGGACCACACTGTATATAGTAATCACAAAAGTCAGTTAAAACAGACCCATGCGGTGTTAATGTAAAGAAATTGATTTTAGTGATAGTATTTTAAATTACACATTGTGTTTTGGGGTTAAAAAATGTTTGTAAACTTAACTGATAATGTCCTGGCAGAAAATTAGCTGTACGTTCTCCGTTTTTCTGCAGATTTTTTTTCTCACAGTGTGGTGCATATGATAATATACGTACACTCTAAAAAATGCTGGGTTGTTTCAACCCAATTTTGGGTCAAATATGGACTAACCCAACTGTTGGGTTAAATTTTGGTTACATTTTTAAATTCACTTTTTAACCCAACAGTTGGGTTAGTCCATATTTGACCCAAAATTGGGTTGAAACAACCCAGCATTTTTTAGAGTGTATGATGTATCAAATGTTTTTGGTACAGTTTAAAGTATAGAATATATATATGAAGATTTCAGAATGTGTTTAATGTTTTATTTTGCCATATTAAAGCAAAAATATGGCCCATACATATTAACTGTCCTTTCATACTGATGAGAGCCCAGTTTAAAACATTCTGTTTGACAAATGAGATTGTTAAATGTAGGAGTTAGAGTTCACACTCACATCCATCTTTGAGCTCAATGCAGTGTATTCTCTCCAGAGGCAGAGGGGGGCGCACTACCTTCAGCTTGTCTGATTTCTTCTGAGTTTTGGTCATCAACAACACATCAGTGAAGAGCAGGACCACAAGCTCCTAACATAACCAGAAATTAAAGCTGATATTATGATTTCAAAACAAAAATGATTAATACATCACATTGGCTTTGTTTGTCTTTTCACTTGCCTTGGTGTCCTTTCTTATTCTGACCTTCAAAGTTTCTTCCATTAATTGCTTCCGTATGACATTTGGTCCCACCCCCCTCACCGGGCTCATCAAATCAAAGCAGCAGAACTCACGAACATACTGTTGTTGAGATCTTTCTGTTAGCCTTTTTTTATATAAGCAAAGCGTGTACAATTTATGGTATTCAAGATTTTGTTGTTGTTTACCTTGTCTATTTCTTCACTCAGACCTTCTATTTTGCATCCCTCTATTCTTTGAGCAGCAACAGAGAGGGCCAGAGTATCTTCTTTCAGTTGCAAATAGCCATTGATAGATTCTAGAAAATGATTGACACTGTACAACTGCAGGAGAAAAAGAGACAGTGAGTGAGAAACGGTGCAGATCTTTATCTTTAACTTCAATGATAGAATAAAGACTGGGCAAGCAGCTCATATTCAAGAGAGAGAGAGAGTGAGAGGTGTATAGAGAGACGGAGATTACAAAGCTGATAACAAAGGCAATGCAGCTCAAGAGTTTGACTTTTCTCATAGTCTTTAATCTGACATGATCATTTCATGGTGTGATATTTCACACATAATACTACTGTAATTAAGACCAACTAGTGAAAGTGCCTCTATTTTTCTTCTATTTCATACTTCTGATTATTATTCTTTTCATAATAACAATATAATTGGAATGTATTTTATTTGTTCCAGTTTTTGCTTTAATGACAGCAGCACAAGCTGCATCAACTGAATTAACAAGTGTTTGCAAAGTATAAATCTTTTTTATTCATTTCATTATAATCATGCTTCAAATCCTTAAAGGATGTTAGTATTTTGTCCAACAACAGCAAATAGATTTAAACCATTTTTTGATCTCACCATCATCTAGTCCAGTGTTTCTCAACCCTGGTCCTGGGCGCCCCCCAGCACTGCACATTTTGTGTGTCTCCCTAATCAAACACACCTGATTCAACTCATTAGCTCATTAAAAGAAACTCCAGGACCTGAAATTATTGTGTCAGAAAAGGGAGACATACAAAATGTGCAGTGTTGGGGGGTGCTCAGGACCAGGGTTGAGAAACACTGATGTAGTCCATATAGAATTACATGAAGAAAGACTTTTTTTTACATTTACTTATTAAATATTTAAATAAATTTAAAAAATTTCCATCTCATAAAGTCATTTTGCTTTAGTAAAGTGACAACACAAAGGCCAATGATTACTTTTTTAGTAACTTATGTCGTTTTCATAATGAATGCACTTAGTATTTTTTTTAAATAGTACAAATTAAATGTACAGTGTATGATGCAATTCATCACGACTGTGTCACAGTCTCACCATTCTTTCAAGTGCATTTTTGGTGGGTTGGTCTTCTGTGGTCTTCTGAACAGCTTTCAGCAAAAGAGGGTACTTGGTGATTCTCTGGTGTGGTTTGGCCTGCATATCGCCCAGTCTCATTCGCCCACACTGTGGATGATTCTCCACCCACTGCAGAACAGATTACATCAAGGTAATCAGGAAAATCATGCATGCATGTTTCTTCATGCAACATATTCGATTGTAATCTATAGCTCATGTTCATCTGTGGTTTGAAATGTGCATTTGAACTCATTTATTAATGAAACTTTTTTTGCTTAAATGATTACATTAAATGATTAAATGATCACACATTAGCACGTTGACATCAATGTAGACATTTTACTTTTTGATATTACTGTACAGCTAGACAATTAAAGATAAATTGAATTAAGCAATTTCAGGGCTTAATGTGCAGCTATTTCTACTATGTACCCTTCAGGAAACAGCACACCTACAGTCAAACCACCATAAAGGCAGGCGATCTCACAGTCATTTCTACCCTGCTTACTTTGCATACTGTCCACTGGTGCAAAAAACATTGGCTGTGGAACTTGGTGTGGTAAACAGTTCATCTGAAATGTGGAAAACAAATTCACACCTCGCAACCCATTTTTATGTCTATATTTGACAATTTTTTCCAGCCTTTATTTAGCTTCAATTTTTTTTTAACTAACATAAACTAAAAAGCTGTTTCCTTTTAAAGTTTAGAACATTTTCAAAACATGTTCTGCACATTAAGATCTGGAGAGGATTTTCCGAAAATGCTGCTTAATGTTATGGCATTGGGCTCAAACCTACAGATTTTGCTCACACAGGGTATAACAACTTTTAAAAAAAAAGTATAATTTTTGTACTTCTGGAGGGGGGATTTTTTTCCTCCACTTTGTTACACTTGTGGCGTTCCTGGTCAAAAATGACCAGCCTACAAATAATTGATTATAAATGTCTCACTACATTACATAATTACCAAATATAGGATTCAGTCTTTTAATCAGTTTATTTTCTTTCATTCAGCACAGGTTGTGTGTTTCTTTTTGAATTTGAAATTGACTGGTTGTAGGCCCCATTGATCTGCGGTTATGCACTGTGAACATTGCCAAAATTGTCCACAAATAGTGCTTTTTTCACCCAAAAACTGCATAAGCTCAGTCAGTGAGGCCTACGACCAATCAGTTCCAAAAAGAAATAAAAACCCTGTGCTAAATGAAAGAAAACAAGTTGACAAAACAACTGAATCCAAGATTTGGGGATAATATACCATAATGGTAAATTTATTAGCAATATTTAAAAGGCTGGTCATTTTTGTCGTTCAGCACAGCACAAGAATTAAACCTAAGGGAGAAACAAGAACAGAAAAAGACAACATTGCAAATATTAAAATTAAAAACAACTAGAATTTCATCGGTTTAGTGGTGTTCCGAATGTGTTGATTTTTGGACTGAAGCAGAAGTGGGATTTTTGACTTTTTGTAGCATTATGTGTTTGAACGTTTTAGGCATTTTTCTGTGACCCTGTAGGTGGCAAGATGTGAATTAGTCATCCAAATCATCCATTCAACCGATTTGTTAAAAATGCTGACTTATTCAGAAATGAATAAAGTGACTGTTTTAATGAGGGAGTCATTGAATAATTCACTCAACTTTTGCTACTATAATGTGTAACACTCCAAAGAGAAAGGAAAAATTGAAATTGCATCATATGACCCCTTTAATATTCAGTATGACTGTGACTACCTGCAGCCTCATGTCTACAGCCGAATCATGCTAATATTTAGAACATCAGCACTCTTTGATACTATTTCTTAATTGGAATATTTTTGTTCCAATAGAATAATTCCTTGCTTTTAACATATAAACGTGATTTTCAGCACCGTAAGATAGGTGTGAAACTGTGGGGTTGTGTCAAGCTGTCTGCGTGTAAACTCCACATTTCTCTCCTCTTCCAAACAGTATTCAAAGTATGCAGGAAAACGGCCAGGAAACTGAAACAGATTAAAAAAAAATGAGGTAAAAAGATTGAAAAAAAGCACAAATTTATCTATTTTAGCTTTATTTCTGAGAATTTCATGAATTGATGTTGTATCATACCTGCAAACATCCTGCCTCAAGTCTGAGAGGGTCAAATGGTCTTCCAGTGAGACGGACCTCTTGTAACATTGGATAAATTACTTCATGCCAAAAGAGTTGATGTGCATCAAGGATAGAAGGAAGATTGGAAAAGAGCATTGTGGGGCTGACCTGAAGAAAGAAAGAAAGAAAGAAAGAAAGAACAGACAGTAATGGAAAAAGATTAATTGATACAGGTGGTGTCGCCCACATGCTCTACACCAGAGCAAAATTATTTTCCATCTTATCCGTACAAAATGTTTCAATTTCTGACATCACCGATGCTCTAGATTATAGAATGAGTAGAATGAGTGATCTCAGACAGATGACAGTGAGCGGCACATTATTTGACCGCAATTCTGCCGTCACATACAGCTGTGTAGTCCGTCTGCCTGCCATTTAGATATGCTGAGTATGTAACTCTAGAAGGTCAATTCTTAAGAAAAAGGTTCCATGTAAACGTGAAAGATGAGACGAGATGCACATACTTCCTGAAGGAATCCATATCTGTGACAGTGTGACAGTGCTGCCATCACAAGCTGTGCAGAAAAGAGGATGTGCATTAGCCAGAGCTTTAGCAAGAGTGTAAATAATACATTTAAAATGCATGAATGAAAATACAAAGGACTGAGAAACGAGTTCAGCAATATCTGTTCAGCATAAACATATTATTATTCTAATTTTTGTTGTTATAGTGAATTGATTGTCTATATCTGATCAAATAAACTGTAATAAATCCTTAATAATAAAAAAACTGTAATGTTATGACATACTTCTGTAGCAATAGTGAGTTTGTTGATGTAGGTTAGCTCAGTATTAATAAACTCCCACAGCGCCTCCTGCTGGTGTCGCTGGGTTTTTGACATAGACTAGAAATAGAGACAAATAGAGAATGTCAACAATACTCCAACATACATACAACACACTTCTTCTGTCTTCTTTGTTTGTTTAACTTTTAAATCAGTTAGTGCACATTCCTGGTATTGCGCATGATTCTGTGTTAGGCCTACTCTTTCGGCAGACGTCACTAACATGCTATGTAAACTATTTTACAAGGTGACGATTTCTTATTCATTTATATGATGTTATTTATTATTTATAAATGTTATACAATGTTTTTATAAATGTTATACGTTTTTAATACATAACATATACAACCCTAACAGTCAGTGGGGCGTAAGCAGATCATATGAAAGGTAAATATCTGTCGAATTCATATGAATAGCCACTAAATTGGTCAAAACGTAAACAAGTATCAAACTGCCATGTGGATGTATTGACAAGTAGGCCTACGCAAAAACATCGAAAAAGCGTTGTCCCATATGTGGCTAGAAGAGATACAGCTAAAACCGGAAGATAACAATAAATTAAGTTTTCTACCTACACCTACACCTACCCCAACCCTAAACCTACCCCTTACAATAATGGAAAAACGAATTATTGTTGTACACTGTGACAAAAATTACGCTATATTGATGTGCGCATGCCCAATAGACGAATCTGTGTACCATCTAGCCTGAACCCTTTTACCTCATGGGAGTCCACTATGTCTGTCCAGCTCTTTTCCAGTGCTTTTTCAGTACCTCCCTCCCCCCATGTCCACCTCAGGTCCTCAGGTATATTGAATAAGTCCAGAACCTGTTTCAACGCGTCCACCTGCCCCTGTACACCACCTGGTCGTTCCTGAGAGAGAGATTGGAATAAGAATAATGTAATCAGTCTATGTATCCAACTATGAACCAGTTCAGGCAACAACAACAACAAAAAAAAAAGAATTAGGCCTACCTCAAATGTGCCATTTTTGTCAGACACTCCCTGGCTAAAAAGTGCCTGCTTTAATGCACCTCTGCTCTTCACCCCGGCAGATGTTCCCTTGCTCACTGTAGAAAAGTCCACAGCTGCCCTCTGCTTCTTTTTCTGACAACCAAAATTTATAAATATGACAATCTGCATTGACAGCAATCAGCTAAAGCCTGATTAAATCTGTGACTGCTTATAAAGCACAACAGGATTTACCCAACTAGAACATGATCCTGCAAAAACATCCTTTGTTGGTCCTGGAAATGCATTCCTCATAGTGTGACTGATACAAATGTTATTCCAGAACCAAAGGACATTGTTCGATGTTCTACTTGGTTAAATCATTTGAGCATCAATCAGATCAGCATATTCACCTGTCTGGACATCTGAACAGAGTTGCAGAATGAAAGCAGAGGAAATTGGTGTTTAATTCAAAAGACCTTAGGCTGAATCTGTGTGTGAGGGGTATCTAAAACTAAAAAAAAAAAACGAAAAATTGGAAGTAGAGCACTCCAATGTCCTGGCTTTGATTCCCAGGGATCATAGATGCATCCAACTTTGAACAACTTACATACCATTCAATTTCAGCAAAGAAAAAAAAAATCATAAATATAAAGTTTTGGGATATGGAGGGCCAAATGACAGTCATTCATGAATTTGCGTAGTGAATTAAAAATTAATGTAAAGATTTTTTTGTGCTTTTTTAAAGCCTATTTAATAATAATGATAATATTTAAAACATTTTTAATTATTTAATTTTGAGTTATTCAGCGCTCCATATTGGAAGGTTGTACCACACAATATTTTGCATACCTTGAACTAACCTTATCATGTCATAACACACATTGACCATGACACACATTATTTTTAGGGGTCCTGATATCATTTCCTTTTTTTTTTTTTTTCTTCAGCACTTTGGTCGCACCACTTGTCTTTGCCGGTCGCACCGCATGACAGAGATTTTTGCTAATAAAACAATATGCTTATCTACTTAATATTTTCCTCTGAAGAATTTCATTTTTTTATGAGGTCTTTTTTCGTAATTATGATCTCAGAACCGTATAGTACCCCCTGACATTTTTGACCATTTTGGATTGTCACGTTATTGATCTAAAATGCATTAAAAGTCAGATTATATGAAAGCATCTGCATAATGCAAAGAAATTCCAGTGCTGAATATAATCTGATGAATTCAGTACCTGGTAGCCTACAGTGTTGTATCTGTGTTCCTCTTGTGCCCTCCGCTGAGCGACTGATGGTACTGCAACAAATCCATCAGGAGTGTCGGTGTCTGCCTCTTTCTCTTCCTCCCGCTGTCTGTCACTCTTGTCACCGGCGGCAGTTTCCTCTGGGGCCATGACATTGCTCAGTACCGGTCTTTTTGATGGATTACTAATAGACAGATAGGATTACAATAAGAGGAACACATGAATAAGATCAACAACAGTGCAACAGTAAACAGGGAAAGTAGAAGAGAAAATAGTAGCAGCACTGAGTAATTACAAAAATAGCTGCTATGCTATATTTATCACTGTACTGTGCATAATACATAACAATTTAAAACCCACAAAAAACTGTAAACCACAACTAGAAGGAACTGATACCAGACTTTTGAAGCCCACTGATGTGACCTTTAAATCTCGAAACATTTCACATCTCCTGACCTAGCATATGCCACACACACACACTTGTTTTTCTATCATGGTGGGTTTTCTATCATTTTCCATTGACGTATCCTGTTTTTATATTGAGCTAATGATGTCTTCTACCCCCTCAATCTGTACCCTCGCGCAAACCTATTTTTTTATTTTTCATTTTATATTTTACATTGTATTAACTTATATTGTCATTATGACATTATCTACTATGTTATTAAGGCATTTTTCCCGTGGGAACTGTCAGCTGCTCCCCTGTAGGTGAACTGAGGTTTTGCAATCCTTAGTTCATCTTCTTCTGGACCCCAAAATATAGTCAACATTTGACCCTCCCATGCATTTGATTATTTAAATAAGGACATATTATGGACTTCTGTTGTTTTATATGAAGTTAAATGTAAATATATAGGTTAAATATAACCCACAACACTAACCTTAGAAGAAAACATACTGTATAATGACATTAATAAAATATAATCCTATTTGATAAATATTAATAATTAAAATGAATTCATTATTAAAAACTTCATATTTATTCATGGAAGTAGTATATTATATAGAAATATTATATTAATATCCCATACTATTATTTTTATTTTACTGTTAAATTAGTATATTACACAAATAGCATTTTAATTATATAATTTATATTTGTGTTTATTGCATATTTAATATATATGCATTTGTAACTCTTGTTGTAACTTAAAAATTAAACCACTAAATCCACCAGCCATTTTCTGCTGAATTAACATAATCACTATAATTATATATTAAAAAAAACATCAAATGTTGCAGCATCACACATGGAATTCTGGGAATGATAGTTTTGTTTTTTTTTTCATTTTAAATTATAGGATGACTTGTTCTTTTATTTCCCAAAACTGTACATTTATTTTTATCCCCAAAGGAAGGTTTAGCTCATTTCAGAGGAATAATTTGTACCGAAAATGTAAGTAAATAGAGTGTTAAATACACACACACACACACACACACACACTACATGCCAGGATTCCATATACAAGAGACATGACCATGCACAGACAAGCTGAAGTTTATAAACACACATATTCTTACACGCCAGTGATTCATAATTCACTGTAATTCAGGTGAGTCACTTTTCCCCAGTTATGCATGAATCTCACCGGCATAAAATACACTGGTGTGTGATTCAGGAGACTCGCACACACATGTTCTGAGAAAGATCTGAATATCCGCCCACGTTTGACATCACTTTTTGGCAATACACCAATTCCGCTCAGACTCACCTTGTCAACATTATCATCAGCCATCAATTCAGGGTAAAATACCCCGAACGAACAAACACTCACACACAGCCATATACATGCACATAAACTGTTTGCAAATGCACATTTGTAGTTACACATACAGGCATAACATTGAATATACCATAAACACAAAGTCATAACACACAATTTTGAAAACAAATTCAGCATAAGATATGTAAAAGTAGATTTAAATGCAATTTACATCAGCAAGTCCCAGTACAATCTCAATTCTTTAATTATTTACATGTGATTCTAGTTTTAGACAATCTCCTTTACCACACACACACACACACACACACACACACACACACAAACATTCTCAGGCAAGTCTTCCCCAACAGATACCTGGATTTAACGGTGTCCATTTCCCTCACACAGACATCTTTAAGGTCTCTTTCTGTCCCCCTTGTCTTCTTGAATCTGTCTTTCGGAGTCCTCAGTGTCTTTCTATATCGTTTTTCTTTAACCCTTCCTTCAGTAACAGGTTGAGCAAGCGAGATCAGATTCTTCATACTTAGATTTCAGGCATGGCTGCACCCTGAGAAGATAGACCTGACTGGGCCATTAGTGCTTTCTGATGTGATTGACAACCAACCAGCCGTTGATCACAGGTACATAACAACATGTAAAGTTATAATTGTTTAGACAGGGATGATAGGTTTGTGGTTTAGTTCCACAAAGACAAGCATGCACACACACACACACACACACACACACGCGCAAACATGCAAAATAAGGAAGAAAGATGTTATTTTGCCTCCAATCAGGAAATTTAAATGCTGGGAGGATTTGACAGGTGCTTACCCAAGAAAACCCCATCAACATGATGCCATGGTAATATTTAGGTATACCTAGATTTGGCTCTAGATTTAAAGGATCTTCCTTTAGTGTAAATCCGATTTTGAACATTTTATCATCTGTTAAAATTATTCATGTCTATAGTACAGATTGTGTGGTACCAGTCAAGCTGTGAACGCGTGCAGTTCAGCTGATTAAAAAAAAGGAAGCGAGAAAGGGCCTGAGAAATATCAGACAGGAATAAATTCAGTGGGATAGGAATGCAGAAAAGCAACATTGCGCAAGATAATAACAGATGCGCATCAGGACATAATTACACAAGCGCCTTCATCAAAGGAGACACGGCTGGGTTGGTGCTTCTCTAGTGGTTAAGGGTCTGCTAACAAAACACTTGTAGATTTAGTGCTGGTGAGGCCTTTTACAAAGCATGTACTTCCAGGTTTCATCTAAAATGATAATGAATTAGAATAAAAGGCAAATTACACATGAATTAAAAATATATAAGCTGTTTATTTTTTTTTTTTGGCAATTAAATGTAAAAAAGATAGCATTTTTAAAAATGTATTTGGGGACATTTTTCTTATATTTTTTTTCACCCATTGTAAAAAAAAATGTGACAAAAATGATTGAAGTTCATTTTACAAAAAATACTATTTCAGTCCTTCTACTTGTGTTACTTGTTTGCAGTTTTCTGTTTCTGCACCATGTTTTTCCAGCATATATGGTTTATTTATATAGGAATTTTCCATTAAGGCAAAAAAACAAAAAAACATCTGTGGTCGAATTAGCTTTATAATTTGCATTTGCATTGAATTTTAATGCTAGTTTCCAGCTGAAGCCCCATATTAGCCCGTGGAATAATGCAATAATATAAATCACCTCTCAAATTGTATAAAATACCCCTCAAATACAAATGCAATTATAAACTGTTTTTGTTTTGTACATGCAAATACCACTGCTATCAGCATTAAATTCATATATACAGTTGGAGGCATTAATGGGTCAATAAGGCCTCTCACAAAACCTGTCAAGAACATGCCCAGGTCACCGCCAAAAAAGAAAATGTAAGAAATTGAAATGAAAGGAATAAGAATCTCATGGTTTTTTAAGTTTAACACTGAAGACTGGAGTAAAGGCTGCTAAAAACCACAGGAAAAAATAGTTTGGACTATTTTTGATCAAATAAATGCAGTCTTAGTGAACATAATCTTCTTTCAAAATTCTTTCCCAAAAAAAAAAAAAACCTTAAAAAACTAACAGAACAAAAACCTTTCTTAAAATGTTTAACAGTGTATATATGTGTGTGTGTGTGTGGGTGTGTGTGTGTGTAGGTGTGTGATCTGGACATGTTATTGTGAGATCTGTGCTATGATAAGAAGAACTTACAGACGGATAAAAGCGTCTGCTAAACGTCTAAATGTAAATGTAAATGTAAACTTGGAGAGAATATGCATGGTTATGTTATCTCCAATACATATCTGAAATATTACAACCCAAACCCCAACCACCCCACCACCCTCATTCAGATACATTTACGTTGACAGCACTAAAAAAAAAGCTTGCATACAAACATAGAACATAAGCATATTCATAAAAAAATTAGTGTGAAATCTTCAGACAACTGGAAATATGACATGGCCAAAAAACAGCTGTAGACGCACTTCCACTCTCAAAGGAATCCAATGGAAATCGGTGGAGGTTAAGTTCTCTATTTAATGCCCTTTTCTTCTTTCTCTTCTAATGGCCTCAGTGTGAAGTGCTTGGGTCCCATGAAAGGAACCTGCTCTCGATGTTGTCTGCACAGTTGACCAAATACATGTCCTTCAGAGTGTCTACGAACATCTGGATGCGGTGACATGGCAAAACATTGTTCCCTCCTCCACTGCCGCTGTCACTCCAAACCTTCAGCATCTGGTAGTGGGCATCTTTGCTGTTCCTGTGGTCTTGTTCCGCCCTGTCAATGCTCTGCTCAGAAACACCAAGTCGACGTACAAGCTCTTTAAATCTTCCAAAAGGCACCTCGTCCAGCACAAAATAGAAGAACTTGTGAACTACAAAAGTGAAAGTCAGAGAAAGAACGACAACAGACGTGAATCATATTTAAGCAGCATCACTTAAGCCTAAATAAGGGATTTATGTGTAGAAACAAATAAACACAGACATACATTTGATCTCTCTTGGGACGCAGTCTGGGAGTTTTCCATTTTGTTCTGTTTCGCACGGCTGTTTTGTGAAAGGAACGCTCTCATTGTGTTCTGTGTCTGGTGCCACTGTGATAATCAATGTCTGTGGAAAACATTAAAAATATATATGAATTACTTAATAAACAATACAATAATAACATTAAAAAAAAAAAATACTGCAGGTGTCTATGGCCTAATAATTATTTAAGAATTTATTTTAAAATTTCTACATCAGGGGTCTTCAACAAACAAATAAATGCTGTTTTTTTTATTTTCTATTCATCAAAGAATACTGAAAAGTATCACGGTTTTCACAAACATATTAAGGAGCACAAGTGTTTTCAACAATGACAATAATCAGCATATTAAATCATTTCCGAAGAAATGCTGCCTGGAGAAATGGCTGCTGAAAGTTTGGCGTTACCATCACAGGAATACATTACATTTAAAAATATATAACCATTTAACTAACAGTATAACTATTTAAAACAGAAAACAGTTAATACAGCACCACTTTAGCATTTATTTCTGAAAGACATTAGTGCAATTCTATTAATATTATTTGTCATTGGCTGAGAGTTCAGATGGGGGTCCCTGTGATAGAAATATTAGTATTAGTATTTACGATAAAAGCTGAATCATCTTCTGTAAAAACAGAGCTACAGTAATTATGTGTTTAGCATCAGATGTGAATCACTCGCATTGTGAAGAAGAATGGTTGTGGTGTCTTTGTCATTGTTTGTCATAGGTCAATCAAGCATTTTACCTGATCTTCGGAAGCAGGTGATGATTTCTGCGATGACAAAGCATGCCTCTTTTTCTTCCAAAGTCTGATGCCCTCGTATAACATGAACACTCCCAGTGCTAGAACCATGATGCATGCACCCACAGGGACCAGTATTTGAGGTATTGAGCCTGAAACATCAATGAGACCAGAAACAAACCAAATAAAATCAGTCCTCAATATTATTTCTTGCCTGAGGACACGTGTTGTTTTTGGACCATACAGAGACGTTTTGCTTAGTCATGGCTAGACAAATTCAAAGGAACCTTAGAGGGGACTTCCCAAGATTACTCATGCTTTCTAAAAACATTTTAGTACTAGCTCTCTTTATCGATACACTCTAAAGCCATACAGTAGCCTGTCTGGCATCCACAATATTAGGAAAGCCAACAGACACCAGCTTTTTCAATATTTTCGATTTCCAAAGGATACGCATTTTTGGATGGATGTTGATCAGTACCAGTGGTGTGCAGTGGTGGGTTTTTTTTAGAAAATAAATCAAATGTAAATTCTTGTCTCAGTTACACATTTTCCTGGTTAAATAAACATTACTTACAGTATAAAAAATAAATAAAAATACTACTCTAGGTTACACTTTATTTTAAGGTGTCCTTGTTAGTGTAATTATACATTTAAGTATTGAGTAATATTAATTACTATATGGTTAGGGTTAGGATTAGGGTTTGGTTTAGGGTTACTTGCATGTAATTATGAATAATTTATTGTTATTATAATAGTAAGTATATGCAACATGTGTAACAAGGACACATTAAAATAAAGTGTTACCCAGTTCTATTTTGTAATGCAAGTAATGTTCTATTTATTAAAACCAAGTAGAAATCTCATCAAGCTAGTGTTTTAAGCATTTTTTTTTACATTCATTCCAAAACAATAACTATTCAATAATAATGACTATTCAGCTGTTCTTATTAACAGTCAACTTTTCAGATCATTAGTCATAAACAAGAAATTTCACCAAGCTAATTGCTCACTAAAAAAATCCCACAGATCATGTTTTCAGGCGATTTGAAGTTTTATTTTGACGTGACTTTTTTTTTTTACATTTTAATTAGGCTTCCCATTAATGCCATCGGTTTGTTCATTCAGACTGATAAGCGAACGTGTGACAAATACAAAAACTGGAGGCGGGATTTATTACATGAACCAAATCATAGCCTCTTCTCATGTGATATCCCCCCATTCATTCTCAACTTACTGTACCCCTTATGAAACCCACCACATGCCTTAGGGATCTGTTAAAACTCAATAGGCTTAGGAGAGGCAAGAGAGATGCAGCCTCCTGCTGTAATCGCTGTTGTAGTGTTTACTTAAAAAAAACTAGTGATTTTCTTTTTAATTTCATATCTTGCAATATTTGCATAGTTTTCTCATCCAGTTTTTTGAAGAGGCACTGCCTCTCTTGCCTCCTCAGAGGAAATGTCCCAGGTCAGTACTCACCTGAAGGACTAGTTGGGTTGGCAGACCTTAAAGGGTTAGGAGGTGTGGTGGATTTGCACAAGTGTGGACACTCATCCTGACATCTATAAGATATAAAGAACACACATGTTGATTATTTTGTCTGCCATGTCTAAAGATCTGTAAATGTATCTGTTAATTACCCATTAAAACAATTTTCATGTGCTAATTCAGTACACTTCAGTGTATGTATGTGGATGAGCAGAAACAACAGGGAACGCATTCCGAATAAAGGTTTTTATAAAGGATAGTTTGTCATTTGTAGATATTCTCACTTCAGTTTTTCAATATTTATAAAATAATTTAAAGGTGAATCATCCTGTCTGTCTTGGGCCAGACATTTACGCAAGTATACTTGAACACAAAAAGGAGAGCTTGGTCAGCGTCATTACAACATTAAGTGCATCTTTTATGCATGTAACTAACTGGCTCAGGAAAGTTCTCTTCATACTGACAGTAGTTGATTTAAAAAAAAAGAAGACAAAATTGATTCCCATTCGCTGACAGCATGGATTATTATTGTTACAAAAAATGAAAACGAAATACATTTTTAACTGAAAAATTTATCATAAAGTAAATTATATAAAAAATAGATTCCAACCTGCAATTGCCACTAGATCAAAACTGTCCTGGCAAATTTAATGGCATTAAACTTTTTTTTAAAAATTATACCAATTAGCACCTTAATTGTAGTAGACCTAAAATACTAAGAGTAAAATAATAATAATAATAATAATAAATTAAATACTAAAAATTCTAAAATACTAAAACTAAAAAAAACTAAACTAAAACCAACAATAACAGAGTGAAACATAAAATTCAAAATAAAATTATTTAGAATAAATGTCAAATTTAAAATGACTATAATATCCGAGATGTGTACTTGTATTGAGTTATTCATTTCAGTTAAACGCATTTCAAAATGCAACAACGCACAAAACTGAGCTTGTGTAGTTAAATGCTTCTGAATTCATAAGTGTACTTATGTAGAGTATGTCTCTGCACATTAGCATGAAATGTAAAGCATTGCAACACAGAAAATGTCACGCTTCACCTTTAACATAACATTTTCAGGACAGCAGACATAAATGCAAGGAAGGACGTCTGTACTTGTAGACTTTTCAAAATCAAAAGATGAATGAGTGCATTCGTCAACTTAACCTCCGAACAAGTGCCACATCATAACAAGTGCCCGCAGGATTTTGAAGAGTACCGAAGTGTGACTTACTTAACACACAGCTCACAGAGGTTTTTGCCCTTGACAGCATAATGGTTTTCTTTGCATTGACACTTTGTATTCTGTTCCCCAGCACCTGACAAAAGTGAAAACATTAACTAAGGGTATCCTATAATGTAAAAACAAGATTAATATATAGCTTTAATTTATTTACGTAGCTTTATTAAGCTTGAGGGACTTACATTTCGCAGCTATCAGCTGCCCAGATCCACACTTATTACAGCTAGAACATTCCCATCCCAAGTCGCCTAATTTCTTATAGTAGTATTCAGGCTCACACCCACACACCCTATTGCTTTTGAATGTACATGGTGATATCTCTATGGAATGGTCTGTGATTAAAGGATGAAAGACATATGAAAACTGAGCAAAGGTAAAATTAATTGGTTGTGTGAAGTTTTTAACAATCATCCACATATTAAAGGGATACTTTCATCCCAAAATGAAATTGTCATCATTTACTCACCCTTATACGGTGAAACACAAAATAAGTTATTTTTAAAAATGTCTTAGTGTTTTTTTGTTTTACATATCTTCTTTATGCACCAAGAGCTTGTAACACTCCAAAGATAACGGAAAAATTGAAATCGCATCATATGACCCCTTTAAAGTCAATTAAATTGACCCCACTTACTTTCATTGTTTAGACAAACACCGTTAAGACATTTTTCCAAAATGTGTTCCGCAGAAGCAAGAAAGTCATACGGATTTGGAATGATGTAACAGTTATGTAAATGATGACAGAATTTTCATTTTTGGGTTAACTACCTCTTCAATAACAAGAAATACGAAAATCAAAGTTTTAAAATGGCATTACCTTTGTTGCACTTCCTGCAACTGAAGCAGTTTTCATTGTAGTTTGAGTTATCTAGGTAGGTTCCATTCTCACATTTTACACATTCGGACCTCTTATTTGGTTCAGGGCATTTCTCTTTCAATTTAAACCCTAGAATAGAAAACAGAAGGACAAAGGACAAAACAAAACCATCAATGAAAGCTGAACAAAGGGTTTCTTTGAAAAACAAACATACTCTGTTGCTACTCATTATCCATAGTAACTGTTTTAAATGTTAACAGCTTTGCTCCATTATATGATAAATGTACTTCTAACCAAAAAAACACAGCAGTCACAGAATTTATTGAAAGGATATACACTCTGTACATCTATAACATAAAGCCTGTATTTAAATTTGCTTTACCTGGATGACATTTATCACAGCAGAATCCCTTATTATTCCAGTATTCATTATCAGGACAAGTTCTTTTCACAGTCTGACCTCCACTAATGGCAAAATTTGATATTGTATATGACTGGCTGATTAGAGCCTGTTGGGAAGAAAAGATCATTTAGGTTAAAAATACCACGGGAAATGACTGTGATAGCATGCACCTTATATTATTTGTGAGTGCACAGTGCAATACTGTATTTTACAATGAAAAGTGCTTTATTTTACCTTTCCTTTCAAGTGTGGTGAATAAACCAGAAGTAGTACCTCGCACACAACTTTTCCACTTATTATTATTACTATACTTATTATTATGAAAATGAAAATTGGATGAATGAATGGCTACGTTCAGATTGTTTACCACCTACAATTTTTATTACCAACAGCAAGCATTAATACAAGATAAATGATTGAAATATTAATATGCTATATTGCTATCACATTATCTCATTACATATGTTAGCCTCGTCACATGTTTAATTTTGTGTTCAGTTAATAATAATTTTTTTTTTTTTTTTATGTCTTAACATGTAGAAGTCCGATCAAATAATGAGTGATGAAAAAGAAGTGCCTCATAAATTATTTTGAGGAATGAACTATAACGATATAAAAGAGAAGCTTCTGTGATTGGTGGATATTTCTTTAGAATTGTGGGTAAGGTAGTCCTTATTAATGTTTTCTTTTTTTAATGAAATTACACTGACACATGACTTACACTCATCATAACTTGCGAAATCTCAATGTAGGTCTGTCCTAAAATGTTTATATGATATACCGGTAGTTAAAATTAGATTATGGAACCTGACTATTAATTTTATGTATAGGTAAAGTCACTGAATAATTAACCAATTAAAACATGCCTTTAATCATAGTCAACCATGATGAAAAGCAGCCCAACACAACCTTTTAATAAAGTATTTTAGATGGCCACCTGGGGCACTTTTGAAAATGAAGGTTCATGGCTGAATAAATTCTCTGCGAATACTATCTTACCAGCAATACATAAGCGAACAGCTGACATTTCCTCATGGCCGCTATAGGGGGCGCTAAAGCAGTACTTCTCACTTCACCAAACACACTGTGCAGACAGAGGAGAGGGGAAAGTGTAGGTACGAGTTAATATTTTACACATTATTAATTTCACAGCTTTATCTAATAAAGAAAAACAACAGTTTTCATGAACTCTGATGTCCTTGTAGCCTATCAAGCAGATTATTCTTACAGTAACCTATTGCGAAATAGTGCCTACATGACACAGTACATGTACAGTGCCTTACAAACCACACACAGTAACATCTAAAATACAGTTTTTATTGTTAATTCCAGCCGGATTGTTCTTTAGCATGGTGCCAAAATTAATTCAAAACAAAAACAAATAACATATTATGCTGTTAAAGATCTTCAGACCCCCACAGACATGTACACTAGGAAAGACGGCAAACGGGGAGACGCTTTAACATTTCCATCCGTTTCAAACCACGGTACAATCTCGACACCCACACTTAAAAGTGCCACATTAGAGATAACAATCGAGTTCCGTATGGAGATTTTACAGCGCGTGAACTTACCTCTACTCATGGCGATCCAACATTGTCTTTTCGTACTCTCCCAGAAGCGTTCTATCATCCCCAATAGAGCTAAAATATAGCCTATATTTAAAAACTTTTTAAAAAATGTGAGATGGGTGAAGTATCGCTACCGTCCATTTCCTCGGAGGAGAAGGGCAGTCTTTAACTGGAAATGTTATGCGTCACAACAACTCCTCCTCTCGTGCCAATTCTCATGAAGGAATTCGAGAGTCTGGATGAAACCGAAAATACTCTAAAGCTTCTGTAGCAACTTTGAGAAAATCACAGTATTTACACAGTGATAGCGGCACATTGAGGGACACAATACGTCCTTGGTCAATGTACTAAAGGTAGCCTATTACTGTCTGTGTGAATGTCTTTTGTTGTGCGTTGGATACTTACCATATATGCACATAGCCTTCCCTTGTGAAAAATAAATATACTAAAATGTATTTGAAATACATTTATTTCGTGCTATGTATGCTACAAATACATTTACATATTGTGTACTTAATAAAAATACACTGCAATTGTACTTTTGGTATAGGCCTACTAAACTGCTGTGCTATACAACAAATTTTGCACTTTAATTGTGCAGAAGTAGTGCTGAAGTCCAACTAAAGATATACTGAAGTATATATATTTTTGTGCTAAAGTAGAACTATTGCAAGTAAACTTTAGGTGCACTTTAAATTTCTTGCATTTAAAGACCAGTATTATTCAAAGATCCAATCCTCATCAATAATGACATTAAAACACATTTTAGGTTTAATATTAAGTACTCCAAATAAAGTTTAATTATCATTTTTATATCGGTCTCAAGTTATATGTCAGTAAATATGTTAATAGATTTGAACTATACTTAGTATGAAATAAATGTATTTTAAATATATAACTTTTTTTTTACTAGGGTTTATATATCAGAATGTCAAACTAGACTTAAAAAAGCCATAATTAACCCCAAAATGAAAATCATAATTTAGTCTAATCACCCTCATGTCATGAATTTCTTAATTCGTGAAACTAAAAAAAGACATTTTGAATATTCTGGTTAATGGTTGCAACTTGCAGCTGCATTACTGAGTGAATGATTTGAACTTAGAACACGATCAGATTGAATCATTCAGAGCGGTTTTATAAATAAGATCAACCGATTCTTTGAAAAGATCCGACTCAAATCATTCTTCACAAATCAGACATCTCTACTTACATGACTTTTGCCCCTAATTTGCAGTCTGGATGAGCCGACCCCAGTTGAGCAAGTCTGCAGATTAAAATTTCAGTCTGTTTGCCACAAAAAGCGATCATATGACTTCACGTGGACCGCTTTTATCACGTTATGGTGACTTTTTGCCCCATTTGAGGTTGACATTCTCAATGCATGGATCAGAAGAGTAATTCTTCAGAATTTCTCCTTTTGTGTTCCATGTAAGAAAGGAAGTCATATGAGTTCACCTGAGGGTGAGTGACAGCATTATCATTTATGAGTGAATTATCAGTTTAAGTAAGGCCATATATCAGACTTAACATAAAAATAAATACAAATTTATGTATGAAAAAAAGTATGTGTGTGGTATTGCATTGCATTGCATAATAACTAAGGAAATTATCTTTGTTTTGAAATAGCATGTTTTGTCTTTATTTTTCTCCAGCTAATATGACCTTGATAAGATCTTAAACTCTTCACTGAGTTGAGGAAGAAGTTAAAGACTTTTTTTGATTGTTGCAGACAGAATGTACGTACTTAGCTGCATACTGAGGCGAAGAAATAACTTCCTCACTTCTGAAACCACATCCTGTCTCCATTTCCCCTGTGACCTGCAATGTAACCATGGAGATTGTACAAATGGCCCACGGATTGTTCTTTAGCATGGTGCCAAAATTAATTCAAAACAAAAACAAATAACATATTATGCTGTTAAAGATCTTCTTAAAGGTCTGATATTTAATTCACATTGTATGATAAGCACATATTTTTTATTTAACTATTTTTCGTTTTTCTATCTGATGGTAGTTAAAAGAACACTAATACTGGTTGTATTCCATTAACCTTCCAAGAATGCCTTGCTGAAAGCTTGAAAGAGGGAGGAAAAGGATGAATAGTGGTGTTTGTGTTGCCATGAACTGAATAATTGTAGTGAATCAAACACTGCAGGTAACTGCTGCTACTGTTCAGATGACTCACAATTTGTCTATCTAGTCCATAAGAACCTTAAAAATGGGTTGCAATGGTTTTTCTGGGACAGTTTAGTTGGTGTTGGGCACAAATGTTAGTTGTTTGCCTTCCACATACACTGAATGGAAATATATTTATTTGGCTATACTAAAGGTCTGGTGAATAGAATGGCTGCACACAACCACATAAATAACTGATTCCAGGCCTTACAAGGTTGATAAACCACAGACATTTTGCCTGCTCAGTCAGCAAGATACTGCTGTTTCATTAGCTTGACCAACAGGGCCAATATTGCACCAACATGGTTTGCCGCAAGATTACACAACCAGTCTAAGTTAAATGCACAAGCATGATATTTGTTTCCAATATCAGCAGGGCAGAACGCTGAAGGCAATTCAGATTCAAAGCATACTACAAATACATTTGCGTATTTATGTGCTAAATAAAAATACCCTGCAACTGTACTTACGGTATACTAAACTGGTATACTTAAAGTCTGCTAAATTGAAAATTGAACTAATTTTGTACTTCATGCACTTGTGCGGAAGTATTGCTGAAGTCCAACTAAAGATATACTGAAGTATATTTGATTGTGCTGAAGTGGAACTATTGCAAGTATACTTCAGGTACACTTTAAATATATTGCATTTAAAGACAAATGTTATTCAGAGATCATGCAATCCTCATTAATATTGACATTAAAAAAAAACATTTTATACTTAATATTAAGAAATGTGCATTATAATTTTATATCAGTAAGTCTCGAGCGATATGTAAGTAAATATATTAATAGATTTGAACTGTATTTAGTATGAAATAAATGTATTTTAAATATATAACTTTTTTACTAGGGAAGTAATCTTCACCAGTCTGACAGCAACAAGTGAAATGCAGCGAAAGAACACTTTAGAATGTGCTTTAACACCCTCATTTCCTGTTTTAGCCATACATGTCAAGCGATTATCCTCACCGGCCATCAAAACTGTAATCATCAGACTAATGGTCGGACTCATGTAAGGTCCTTCTGTTAGTGTTGGACTTGAGTATATTACCTGCTTTTCTTTTCTTTTCTTTTTGTTTGTTCAGTTTCCATCTCTAAGTACTGAGTTTGTACAGTATACCACCTTCTCATTTTTTGGTGTTACTAAATTCTGTCTGCAACTGCATTCTTTTGACCATGGAAGCCACCTTATAGAATGTTACTTCAAGAATGCAACAGATGAAGTTGACACCATCTGAATGGAGACATTATAGTTAGTTGGCCGAACTACAGTAAGTAACAGCCCTGCAGATGCTACGTCAACTTGCCAGAGATTCAGCCAAATGTAAGCACCCCCCCCCGCCCCCCCACCTATTCTCATTTCGTCTACCTGTATGTCAGTGCATAAACTTCCAGAGAGTTTTGAAGTTCCTTGTGCTCAGTGCAAGGGCTTCTTTCTCCAAAACTCCCTGTGTTTTGCCCATCAGTTGGAAGCCTCATCCATCTCAGTACCAGCTCCCACTGGAAAGTCCGTCCCAGAGCCAGTTCCCCAACCTTTTCTCCTCCTCAGCCTACGGCTTTAGCTTCCCATCCTCTTCTGGTTCTGTACAGTGCAGTGGACTCCTTTGTTCCACCCAGGGCTATTGTTCGTCTTCCGCTGGTCCCACCCAGCATTGGGGACTTCCCGGTTACATCTCAGGCTACCTACCTCTGGGCTATTGTTCCTTCTCTGGTTCCATAAACCACCGCTCTGCATATTTTGCATGTCTCTCTTAGCTATTTAACACACCTGATCCGCATAACCAGCTCATTAGAAGAGAGGTCTATGCATGAACTGTGTTCCGATTGACATGGTCCCTACACAATGTTTTTTGTTTCCTACTCCCTGAGCAAGGAAAATCCGTTGAAGTTTATTTCACCTTGGAACATTCATTCACAGATTTGCGAAAATGAAGTGTGAAGTGTGAAATAATATACCTCTGTAAATAAATACAATTTAAATTCACATCTCGCACACTTTAATGCCCTTTGAATGGAACATATACGCTCCTTTCGAACTGGAATCATGGCGGAATATCCTGTGTTGTCCACTTCGCAGGTCAAGTAGAGCAAACGTCTGGAGTGATAAGAGATACATACAAAATGTGCAGAGCGCTGGTACGCGAGGACTGGAATTGAGAACCACTGATCTAGACTTTAAGCTCATCTTCATTGAGTCTTCCTCATCCTTCTGCTCCATTTGTTCTCCCAAGAACCTTTAGCGTCACCGGCTTCACCACAATTTACTGTTCTGCCAGATCCACCATGATCCTCTGTTTCATCTCCTTATCCGAGAGTTTGTGACCCTCCTGCTCCACTGTGGTTTTCTACTCCTCACTCCATCCTAGTACCTCCCTCCATTAACCCTGCCATGGCCCCACCTTCTCTCCACCTCAATATCATTTTTGTAACTTCCCTATTACTCATGGCTTATTCTGCAGCATCAGGTTCCTTCCATCATCATTACACTAATTATCCTGTTCTTGTCTTAAATTCTGAAAGGTAGGATTTTAAATGAATTTATTGGTTTCAGAATAATTGTTGTTATGAAATATTGCAACGATAGCTACTAGGGATCTGCGTGAGTACTCTAAAGTGATACAAATCATCAAGAGCGTAAACAATGATAAGTCCTGGTTCTGTGTGACCTTTTTTGCTGAATTAGAAATTCACTAACTCTCTTCAGTGCAACAGGCTCCCCTAGTGAAAAATTAAATACGTATTCGAAATACATTTATTTCATGCTAAGTATACCACAAATGCATTTACGTATTTATGCGCTTAATAAAAATACCCTGCAATTGTACTTTTAGTATACTAAACTGGTATACTTAAAGTCTGCTAAATTAGAACAACTAATTTTGTACTTAATGCACTTTAATTGTCCGGAAGTAGTGCTGAAGTTCAACTAAAGATATACTGTAAGTATATTTGACTGTGCTAAAATGGAACTACTTCAGGTACACTTTAAATATCTTGCATTTAAAGCCTGATATTATTCAAAGATCATACAATCCTTATCAATAATGATATTAAAATATTTTAGGCTTAATATTAAGAAATAAATTACCCCAAATAAAGTTTAATTATAATTTTATATCAGTAAGTCTCAAGCGATATGTCAGTAAATATGTTAATAAATTTGAACTATACTTAGTATGAAATAAATGTATTTCAAATATATTACTTTTTTACTAGGGAAGTAATCTTCACCAGTCTGACAGCAACAAGTGAAATGCAGCGAAAGAACACTTTAGAATGTGCTTTAACACCCTCATTTCCTGTCTTAGCCATACATGTCAAGCGATTATCTAAATATATTAAAAAATATCTATTTCAAACACACAGCACATTATAAAAAGCCACTCAGCCTTGTCATTTTCAAGCCTTTGAGAATACTTCAATATTTGAGAACATTTTCAAGAATTGCACTTCTACCAAACTTATCTGAAGAAATTTCATAACTACTTTCTTATGAATCTGGCTACTGAACATATTGCTGAACACAGTTTCTCTGCAAGAGATGACTAAAATTGACAAAAATGACAGTATAAATGTTAAAAGAAAACATTTCATTATCAGTCAGGATTTTCATCTGCAACCTTCAAAAGAACATCGGTTAGTTCACAATTTCAACTGTCGCCTATAAAGGAAAGTGTGAAAATATTAAGAGGAAACATGCTTAAATACGAAAACACACCACGCCAGTAACAGGTATGTGACGGAATAGAAATTCAGGTTGACCTAATGTGACTGCTTAGAGGAGAGAACTCACTCATAAGGGGAAAACTCTTTTACTTGAAGCCTAGAGTTCAGTAAAGCTGCCTGCCTGTCAGCAGGTGATGTTATCTGCAGGTGCTGAGGTAACATTTCTTATATCTTCGCATTTGTAGCAATGTTGTGGTGAGCCCTCCTTTTACTGTAAACACTACTGCACTTGTGTGTGTGCACGTGTGCTGCGGTGGCATGTCTGATCTACAAACTACAAGAAGGACATGACTCTTTTCTAATAGTGGTATCAATTCCACTGAATAAAACCAATGAGTTGACAGCTCGTAAGTGTGAGTAACAGTTAGGGGGAAAAAGTTATCAGATTAAGATTAGATTAAGTGAATTCATGTTTTGGAAAATAAACCCAAAATAGAAACCGTTATGGCAGCTCTCAGACATAATGTACTTTATGCTAAGCAGACGTTTTATTCTAAACTCAGGATAAAATGACGAGCTTCATGGATTCTGTGCGATTGGACGTTATTCAACCACTGGCCTCACTACTAATCTCACATCTCAGAATGAGTGACTGTTAAAGAGCTTGTCTTTTTACTCATGCTTTTACTCAGAATGAGACACAAGACCCTTTTCATCTAGAGTGTTTGTGTGCGCATGTATTCGTTTCAAAGAGAGATGGAGAGAAAGAGAGAGTTTGTTTTGGAACTAGTTAAAAGTTAAACCAAGACAGAAAACCTTTAATGGAACATTTGGGGTAGAGGAAAAAGAGGCGCAGGAGAAATATCAACAGAAAGACCTCCTGCTGCTATTGGGGGTCCTAAGGCAGAGTTATTCATAACGTTGGTTGAACTTAGTTTAAATATGACTCATCTGACATTTCTGATAAAGATTTAATGCTGAAGAGTTGTCCCCTCATCTTCAAAGTTTCAGAGGGGCTCGACTAACTCACAGCTCTCGTCTTTTTCTCACTGTCTCCTATCTGGTACACACTTTCAAGGTAAGACTTCAGTCACTATCTTCTGAAGACTTCACTATCTTAGAGCGTATGTAAAGGATGTGTGATTTAACAGGAATGGTAAAAAATTACATACTTGCATGTGATGTTGCAGCAAATCTATTGTGATCTTATTGTAAGAATGCAAACAGTTTTATCAATGTCAATTAAAAGTTAAATTGAATGACAACTACAAAAACGTAACTAGGTCAAGCTGAATTTAGCAAGCGAGGGGCCGGATCTGTCTGGTGTTTTTTGTAACATTCATTGTATAATCATTGACACATATTTCATTCACTTATTCGTACAGAGTATAGAGATGAGCAATGGCAAAATAACATTATTGACTCATTGTTTGTTTCAACAAAATTTGTATTTGTTTTGGAAAAATGTAATTTTTTTTAAATATATAACTTTTCAAAAGTAAAACAAAAATCATAAATAAAAATATATATGTTATGAAAAGATAAAAAGATAACATTTCTACTAAATGCTATGTGTGTGTATATATATATATATATATATATATATATCTCACTGTCTCTCTCTCTCTCTATATATATATATAACTGTCTATATATATGTATATATATATATATACACTGCTTTTATATTCTATAGAAAATTGACCCTTATGACTGGTTTTGTGGTCCAGGGTCACATATGTAATTGATCATAATTTGTGACAAAAGATCAATATAAAGGAAGGGAACATAATATAACCAAAAAGTTATTTATCAGTAAGTATCACATTAAATATTTAACACGAAGTAAGGCCAGTTACAGCCAAGTAATATATTCATGATTTGTATGACTTTTTACATGATCTGCGAACACATTTAAAGTCATTCCAGGTGTCATGTGTCATTCTGAACCTTCACACGCTTCTTTTTTTCTCTTCCAGTAAGATGCTTACCCTGCTCAGTGTCCTCCTGCTTTCATCACATGTCCTTCCTCTCGTCCAATCACAGTCGTGCGATGACAAAACAGAGTACTTAAATGACAAAACATGCTGCACAAAATGTAAACCAGGTAAATGAAATCAGCTGCCTCATTACTGTGAGCAGATTTGAGTCAGAGTTGTACTTAAGAGGAGAAAGAACTAAGCTGTTCTTTAGTTAAGATTAGATAATTAACGTAAAGTGCACTGAAGCAAAAGAACTTGAGTTGAGATTAGGCATTAGGTTGAGGCAACGTTAAAAGAATCTAATTTTAGAGACAAATTACTATAGAATTGATTGTAGACTGTTTAGGCAGACAGAATCAAGACCATTTAAATGATGTTCGGCTTTTTGAGGCATATTTCGATTGAAAAAGTCAGGATGGGCCGATTGCATTATGTAAGGATATTTCAGGGTTCAGCTATAGTCTGGTTTAATGACATTTACCTAAGGTCTTAGAATGACACATCACGTTTCTCGTATGAGGATGACCTGTTCTCTGAACTCAACTTTGTAAACTCTCAAACCAGTCAGCGTTGAATACCTCGTTCATGAATGTCAGAGTCAGCATTATTCTGCCACACTAATGTCTCTCATTACATGCATGTTTCCCTGCCATTCTGTGTGTTTATACAGGAGAGTATGTGTTAGAGAACTGCAAACAAAAAATGCCTGTTACTCTGTGTGCCCCATGTGGAAATGGCTTCTTCACGGACGACAATAACAGCAATTACAACTGGTGCTCTCATTGTACAACGTGCACCAAAGAACGTATGTCCACTCGATTTCTTTATGATCACAAAACAGGTTGTATGTTCTTAGAATGATATGTTCTGAATCTTCAGATGAATCAGTATGAAAAGTCATAAACTAGAAATACCAAACATGACAGTAAAACAAAGCAGGGGCTTCCCCTTCAGCAGATCTTGGTGGGTTTTTAGTATGGAGGTACTGTAGGTGGGGGTCTGAAAGCCGTCTGGTAACAAACATGACATAGGACAGCAAATCTTGAAAATACATGTGTAGCACTGGAAAAAAACAAGTGCACCTGAGTGGTAATGGAAATAACTGCCTACTGAGATGTCTGAGATGTTTTGATATGCAGATGTCCTGCTAAAGATTGAATTTGACGATTAAACAAACAAAATACTTGAAAAATTGTCGTTTGGGAAGAAAAGGTGATATAGCAAGCAATACGAGAGAAACTAATGTTTGAAGTAACTGAACAAACAAGTATTTAAAAGCCTAGTATACATTTTAATTTACTAAAGATAGACGTGCTGGTTAAACTAGAAAGAAAAAAAATTCTAGTAAATCGTCAAACATGTTCTCTGAAACTTGTGCCAAATGACACTTTAGTTCAGATTGTAGATACCAATGGCCAAATGACCAGGCTAAGGAGTCTCGTGATAAAAAGATATGAGCAGAAATGAAAAGTGAATATCCCGAGGTGGTGTGAGAGTTTATTTGTGAGTCAGCAGAAAAAAAACTGTGTTTGAGCTTGCTGTTTTATTTTGACACTTGTCTTGTTGAAATGACTGTATAAGTGCAGGCACTTTTATGTCCTATAGGGGTTTCATTCTTTTTGTTGTAAGATGGTCACATTTGAACTCTTCATTGTCACTGGATCCTTCAGAAATCATTCTAATATTATGTTTTGGTGCTCAAAAATAATCATTGGTGCATACACACGTGGTCAGAATTGTTGGAACCCTTGGTAAATATGATCAAAGAAGGCTGTGAAAATAAACCTGCATTATTAATCCTTTTGACCTTTTATTTTTTTTAAAACACTAAATTCTAACCTTTCATTGAACTAAAACAATTGAAAATGGGGGAAAATCTCATTATGAAATAAATGTTTTTCTCAAATACACGTTGGACACAATAGAAATTCTTATGAGTAAAATATCTGCGAAGTATATTTCCATTCATATTTACAATTTTGATCATACCAGGGTGATTATGAACATGAAATTATCCAGCCATGGCTTCCTGTTTCACAGGAATATAAATAGGAGGGAAAACAAAGGCCAAATTCCCTTAATCATCCATCACAATGAGAAAAACCAAAGAATATATTTCTGATGTGCAGCAAAAGATAATTGAGCTTCACAAATTAGAAAGTGACATTAAGAAAAGAGCTAGAGCAGTGAAAATTCCAATTTCCACCATCAGGGCAATAATTAAGAATTTCCAATCAACAGAAAATGTTACAAATCTGCCTGGAAGAGGACATGTGTCTATATCGTCCTAATGCACGGAGAGAAGGAGAGGTTGAGTGGCTAAAGACTCTGCAAGGACCACAGCTGGAGAATTGCAGAAAATAATTGAGTCTCGGGGTCAGAAAACCTTTAAAAAAAATCAAACAGCACCTACACCACATGTTGTTTGGGAGGGTTTCAAGAAAAAAAAATCAAGAAAAGAAAATGCTCTCATCCAAAAACAAACTCCAGCATATTCAGTTATCAGACACGACTGGAACTTCAAATGGGACTGGCTTCTATGGACAGATGTAACTAAAAAATTAGCTTTTTAGCAACAAACACTCAAGAAGGGTTTGGTGAACATAGGGATAAAAAGTACCCCATGTGTACAATGAAATATACTGCTGTATTTTTAATATTGTGGGCCTATATTTCTGCTGGAGGTCCTGGACATCTTGATTAGATACATGGCATCTTTGATTCTATCAAATAATCCAAAAACAAACCTTAAAAACAACACAAAAAATGTGTCACTGGGCACAAAACCAAGCTTCTGCTATGGCCATTCCAGT